TGAGCGAGCCAAGCTCCTGGAACAAGGGGCTGGGCCCCTCCCCCCACCCAGCGCCTCCCCCGTCCCCCCACCCACTGTGAGCAGCTGGCACTCATGGCCCCTGGCTGCCTGCACACAGCGCTGTGCGCACCCGCTGCCTGCCCGGACATGTGGGGCACAGCAGCCCCTGGCCTGGCCCTGGCAAACACAGGGCAATGCTGCACATGGAGCAAGGGGGGTGGCCAAATGCAGAGTGGTGGCTGCACTGCGTGCAAGCTTCCCCTGCCCCCCGCGTCCAGCCGGGTGGGTGGCACCTGCACAGCAGTGCGGATGGTGTGTGGCAGCTCTCCATCCCCATCCACCTACGCATACCCCCTAGGACTTTCTCAAGTCCCCCAGGGGTACACATACCCCTAGTTGACAATCCCTGCTCTACAGTAAATATCTCAGCATCTACATGTGGGCCCCTATTAAACTCCTCAGCAGGGTAATATTTGTAAATACAAGTTTTTTTTCAGAGTTTTTTCACGTGCAGCAGTGCATATGTAGATGCTGCCCTGGCTGGCTGGGGTGTGAGGGTGCTTCAGTGTAGGGGCTGCCTGACAGCTAGCTCTGCAATCTTGTGCTCTAGCCAGCCTCTCCACAGCACACAGAGCCCAGGGGAGCAGCCCCAGGCTGGCAGGCTGACCCCCGGATCGCCCAGCAACTCAGGGCTTCTCTGACTAGGCTTCATGTGCACGCATGAATAAGCCTTGGAGCTGATTGCTTCAGTGTTAATTGCTCCTGGACACACATTTAAACCAGCACACCTGAGAGCAAAAAACTCTGGAGCAATAAGCTCCAGCATTTATTCACGTGCACTAATTGCATATGTACATGCCCACTGTGAGCAATGGACAGAACAGGAAATAGAACTGGAAATCAGGTTTTGGGTCTGTGCCCTTGACTCTGCTGCCTCCACATCACCTAAGAATTCATCAAAATTTCCACATCTCCAATGTTATCAAGTGTAGTTTCTCCATGTCTCTGACATTTTCAAACAGCCAAGAACACCCTCACCACAACCATGCAATACAATGTTAGCAATACCTTTCTGCTGACTGACAAAAGAATTCTATTGTAACTGACGATGTTTTTAAGCTTCTCTTGATTGTGAGTGTAAAAACTAAAACTTGCACTAACTGTGTAACCAACAATCACAGCTATCACACTTGTATCATCACATTGCACATACTCATTTCCAATTCGCCACTATGCAAGTTCCTACCTTAATTTCTGTTCACTCACTTCATCCTCTTAAAGGCTCTAAAACAACATTCAGTTAGGTTAGTAATGGTACATTATTAAAGAAGATATGGTTACAGTTCACGTGTATATAAATAATGCAACAAAAAGTGCATAAAACATAATTTGCATCCACTTCGATTTCAACCAGTAAAATCAAACTGTCCTCTAAATATCTGAATAATACTGAATATATATTTTCTCTTGTCCATTAACAAGAGCAATAGCATTCTCTTGCTCATTTTTATCTAAATCCCTGCAGCCAATCATCTTCCCCATACTTAACTACAAACTCTAAGTAAACATCTCCTTCTTACCTGTTAAGTTACCTAGAAATCTGTAGGTAACAATGTCTCCCATCTGCCTATTATATTACCTAGCATTCTGCAGATAACAAAACCTCTTCCAATTTTATCACCTACGGAACTCCACAGATGCCAACATTTCCCTCTTGGACTTCTCTCTTTGTACAAATTCTGAAAAGATAAATTTGAACGTGTCTTCATTTGTCCTCGACTCTGAACAAATTGTTCTGTTTATACACAAGTAGCTTTTTGAAAATAAAAAATTAAATTTCCTGAATACAAAAATAATTTTCCTAACTGCCAACTTTAGATTTCTAGCAGCTGCTGGTTCTACTAAGAGAACCAAAAGAAACCAAAAGTTTATTTTAAAAAATATATTAGCATTGTTTTCCATACAAAACTGAAAGTAGATCAAGACCATTTAAGACCTTGGCATTCCAGGAGGATGAGCTTGTACCTCACAGTGTAAATCTACAGATTTTATATTTTTCACTTTCAGAGTTGAGGTTAGAAAAAAAGCAATTTGGACTAAAAAACAATGAATGATTTCCAAAATGACCCAGTGTACTTTCAGTAAAACAGACTGTCAATATGCCTGCAGTAACATAACTCACAACTTGTGCAAGTACTGCACATCAGCAGACGAAAGCACGACTGTTTTATGTTAGATCCATCACTGTTTTAGCTGCAGTTAAAACAGGAAGATGTTAGTCCAGTCTATATCTTGCTTTGCAAAGACCAATACGTTGTACTTGCACTTAACATCCCCATACCATGACAAAAAAGTAACTCTGTATGAGTCGTCCATTGAGGAAAACACCAGATAGACAAAACTGCCTGGACAATTGCATTTCCCCTTTGTAAACTCTCAAGATGAATGTGCCCCACATAAAATGGTGGGGGTTATATAAGCCTAGAACTTTTGAGGAACTGAATGAGAACTCCATAGATAAAAGTATACTGAGCGAGAGTCTGCACCACCATCATCCTTTGCTGCCGCAACATGTCTAGCACTCTTGGGACATCCAGCATCTAAAGAGACAAAAAAAAAATTAGCTGTTATAAAGACTGGTCAAAAAGGAACACGGTTTGGACTTTCCAATCCAATATATATGTCTTTCCCGCTTATATAAATGCTGTACACACACACCTGCATGTGCACAGACCTGATGATCACAGTCATGGAGCAGTCAGTCACTCTGGGCATTTTTACACGTGCTCTGGGAGGCACAGGGGTGGGGCACTTTAATTAGCAAGTGCTTTAATTAAAAGCACCTGAGAGTCACATGTATCAGCATCCCCAGTGCTGAAAAATGGCAGCAGGGTGCTTTGAATTAAAGCTCATCAAATGAGCTTCAGTTCAAAGTGCCCCACCACCATTTTTCAGTGCAGAGATGCTAAAACATGTGACGCCAGAGTCTTCTGAGCATGTTTATTTCTGTGCTCCGACATGCTGGATTTCTACTGTGCCAGAGCTGGCTCCCTGTACGTGTATAGGAACCCTCTAACCTCACAGCTCTGACAATAAATTCTATTTGAACTTGACCAAGGCATTTAAATTCTCTCTTCCATTTTCCCTAATTGTCAAAAGGACGTGAGATTAACCTGCTCATTTCACAGGGATGCTGTGGGTCCATCTGATTTAATGATTGTCAATTAGTTTGAAAATACAAAGCACATTGAATGTTCTATGGCTCAAGCTCATGATCATAGCTTAATTTCAATATCAACTCTCTTAAATTAAATGAAAAAGCTGACAACAAACATAATAATCTTTAGCTATTCATCCTGCTCATCTACTTAATAGGGGTGTGCAAATACTGATACACCAAAAATGAAGGCAAACGAAGTACTGGGCTATAAAACACCTCATCTAACATTAACAGTAAAAAATCAATTATAAAACAAAACTTGCAGATCCAGGAACTGATTCTGATCACCATCAGTTCTCACCAATGGCACACAGGCTTACACAGGACTTGTTCAGTACTTTGCAGGATCCATGTCTCAAATCAACAGGCACATTTCAGTGTATAACTTCTATATGGGCAAACATATTCAAGAACAGTGAGTGGCAACCTGTTC